GTGGGTGAGCGTCACGGCTCGCGGGGTGCCGTCGCTGTCCATGTTGTTGTCTTCCTCGTCGGCTTGTACGCCAGAGTCAGTCAGACTTGGGACGCCCACATCAATGAAGCCTGGATGCAGGGGGCTGAGCTTGCTCCTTCCTTTCCGTCTTCCGCTGCTGCTTGTCTTGGGACGCCTCGGCGAGGAATCGGATGCGCTGAAGACGTCCATTTCATGGTCTGTTCTGGCTTCTGGGATCAGCGGGAGATGGAAAGGAAAGTATGCTGCGGCGTGTCCATTTGCGGATTTCAGCCTCTCGCGGTATCTTGGGTCTGGGAACTGGAAGCCTATTTGCAGTGGCGTTTCACCCACATGCCGGAGGCTTCGTTGAGACTTTCGGCTGCGAAGTTCAAATTGCGACTCGAGCATAAAGTCCTGGATTCGAGGGGCCGAGTCGGGGTCTGTGGTGTACTCGGCGACAGTTTCGTCGATCAGAGGAGTGATGTCGGCAAAGGATGAAAATGGCCTCGAAGTGTCAATATCTGGGAGCGGGAGCAACGTCTTGATGGGTTGTATGTTTCGCGGCGAGTCACGACGTTGCTCGCGGCCGGTGCTCATGGTTGCGGTGGAGGAAAGATTGAGGTCCAGTCCGCTTCCGAAGCTGCTGAGGGAATCCTGGTGACGCACCGGTGTCGTCCTCGGTGTTGTTGTCCTCGAGCTGAGCTCTCCAGATGCTATGCTGACATAGGCATTCATGGCATGGGCGATAGATCGCTCCTCGAGCGACAAGTTCCCGAATATGCGTAGTGATTCTTGGGAATGAGGGTCCCGACCCCGCGTGCTCGAAACTCGGGACGACTTGGCCGAGAGGGTTGCCGGCCGCTTGGGGCTGGGTAGTACGGCGAGGTCGGGCGAAGTGTGGGATTCTGTCTCGATAGAGTTCTCGCTGATCGTCTCCATGGGATGGCCGATGAAGCCAGAGCGGGAGTTGGGCTTGCGGAGAACCCCGAAGTCGTCTTCGAACATTTCGAATGCATGGTTGGGTAGGCTTTGGCGGTAGCCGGGTTGGAGCAAGTTGCCTCTGACATCGCGGTCTCCGCCACCCGCCCGGGGAAACTCATCAGTCCAATGCCCGTTCGGCACGTAGCCCGTCCCGTCTGATCTGTCAGTGTTGGCTCGAAGAGAGTAGGACGAGAGACCTACCCCGCGATACTGGCCTGCCGCCAAACTCCTCTGGACCGTCACTCAGCTCGCGATACCGAGCCCGGGGCACGAACCCTTTAGAAGATCGGCGGCGGAGCCCCGAAGCTACAATTGTCAGTATCTCTTCAGGTTGGGAATGGCTTCACTACCACGTACCCCGAGAGCAGTCCGAATCAGTCATCTCCCCGTTGTCAAAGACAGTGGAGCCAAGCGTGGGCGAGTCGGGACACTCGAACTTGGAGCCGGTGATGCTGGGTCGACGGTATTCGCAAGACTTTGGGGGTAGCGCAGAGGCTAGCTCTCCGTCCTCATTTGACGAGACTGCCATCTAAGATTGGGAGAGTAGAGCAAGGAGGGACGGGACGGGACGGGACGCGGGGCGGGAGGGCGTGCCACTGATGTTGTCGGCACGACCGAGCCAAGGCCATGGTGCGCCTGCTGAATCACCATTCGACGACATTGCTACATATTCTCGGTCTGTATGGGGCCTTTGGCGCGGGGCGAGGCATCTAATTTGCGGAGAGGATAAGGTTCGGATCGAGGTGAAGATGGTGGGACTTTCACGGGTGTCAGCTCAAGGAACGTGCGGTGTGTTCCGCCGATGGCAAGCGCGAGGGAGCGACGGCCATCGGCGCAGCTTCCACCCATCACAGGTTTTCACCTCGTGCCCTCCAGCGTTACTTGCTAAAGAGACCTTGTGTAAATACCAGAAAAAAGGAGCGAGATGGTTTGTGCGAAGAGATGTCTCCCGCGTCTTCGTAACCGTCGTCACCACCGCCGTCGTCGTCAATAGCAGCCGAGTCGCAAAACTCAAGAAGCATCCTAGCACTATCCTTCCGACCCTACACAGCGTCAACGAGGACATTTTGGACCATGGTATGGGCGGTGACCAGTAGGCAGGTAGGGCGCAACCGACAAGAGGTGTTCTTTTTTTAATGACTGAAAAGACTATGCACGATTCGTTCATCTGTTCGTTGGCAAGTCAGCCAGGATCATAGTGGGAATAGCATCAAGTATACCTTCCCAGCATTCCCCTTCTCCCTCTCCTTGGCAGCCTTCTTCTCAACGCTCCACCAGGGCAGTGTCGCCGATGGCAAGCGTGGGATGACCACGGGCCTCTTACAACCTGAACAAGGCCCTTTGCAAGGTGGAGGACATCCTTTGGAACATACTCTGGACAGTTTGGAATGCAGACAAGACTACTCGAAATTCAGTGAATGCGTTTTTCTCTTCGTCAAAGGCCTCCACAGAACGGGGTTATGTGTCCATCCACCCCCCCCTGCAGGGCTCAATTTCGTGGCACGCCTCTTTACAACGATGTACCACAAAGTGAGTCTTGTTAAGCAGTGCGCGAAAAGAGACTTCGCCTCGCCATGTCTTTAGCATGCAGCGCCGACGGGAAAGCTCTGTCCTCCACCGATCACAGCGTACCGCGGTAGACTACGGCCTCAGCGGCAAGCGAGGCAGTGTACCGCTCAGCGACGGTGAGGGAAGCCCCGTTAGACGACAGACGAAAAGCACCGCCATGATGCCAGCACGGGAAGGTAGAAGATGCCTGCATTGGGGTCTGTATGAACATACAGCGCTCAAATTTTACAGGCGATGGGCTAAACAGTCAACCTCGGAGTGTGAACTCAACAATCGTAGATGAGAGCCAAGGCTTCCCCATTGTACTTGGTGAATGCTCAGTTGGGACGAACTTGATGGCGACCGGATAGTAGTTGACTGTTTGAACTGAAGCGGACACGGTCGTCTTGCTCGGCTCCGGGTTGTGTGGCGCTCGGTTTGCTGGATGGTTGTGTAGGCCGACGCTGCGAGGGCCAGGAGAGGCGGGAACGGCAGCAATGGTAAATGGTATAGGCCAATACAATATTGAACCTCGTTGATGGCCTTTCGATATCGGATGCGGTAGGCTTGGATCCCATCCAGCGGAGGTGTCAGATGAAGACTGGAGCAGGCGTCTCTGCGGAACCTATCAAACAGAGAAAGTGAGTGAGTGATTGCATCTCCTTAGGATGGGTCCGATCATGGACTCGCTGACGTGTAGTTGGTAGGCTTCCTTCGAATCTTGAGTCCCATCCTGTCCGACCACCCCGACCTCCACCAACGTATAGCCCACCGCCCCTATAGCAAAGCTGAATCTACCACTTCCCAACACACGCGGCACCGTCGACCATCCTAAAAGACATCTCACTGAACAAGCCAAAAAACGAGGGCACCGCTATCGGCCACATCGTCATCAACCACCCCGACACCGAATGCACCAGAAAACGAGGACATCACCATCGACCACACCGCTGTCAATGAAGAGACCTGAATGTTTATAGAGAAAAAAGTTCCCTCAAACCGACAGCTTTGAGACGCCCATCTGATGCTTCGAGAGGTGACGTCTTGCGCCGTAATATTTATGAGGCCAGGGCCTATCAAAACTTTCATAACGGCCTTCTTGGTCCAGCCATGGCACTGTTGAATGCGCGCAAGACGTTTTATAATGCAACAAATACCCTTCCCGGTTTCATTGATGCCCTGCGCAGATTGACTCAAGGTCTTCGGCACTCCTTCTGCAGCATCAAAGACATCTTTTCGAGTCAGCTTGAGGCCATTGGAAAATGAAAATATCGCAGCGCTGAGCGAGGCTCGCTTGCGGGCCTCAGTTCTGGGTGTGGGAATAGGTCGTGCTCGGCTGGCGGGAGTGGCTGGGTCGATTGGGTCTTCGATTGCTAGCGTTCAGCCGTGGGGCAAAGCTATCGCGACGGGTGTGTTCTTCCGAATGAGGATTGTTCTGGTGTTGGGAAGTATCTTTCGCGGGGAGATGTCATTTCCGACAAGCGGTCGCGATCAATCGCAGCGCAGTAGATTCTTGGTGTTGAAGAGGTCTGGAAGATTACCTAATATTTGGTATGAGGAGGGGCGTGGCGGGGCAGGCGCGGGGTCCTCGATCGGCTCCTGCGACGTTGTCAAACGCAGAATAATCGCGAATCGCCTTGTTTGCGATCAAGTGATGGGTGTTGATGATTGCTAATTGAAGGTCTAAGCTACCATTCGACACGGAAGAAGGGTGGTGCAGAGCTGAACGCCCGGAGTGCGGCTGTAGCTGAGATGGGGTGAAGAGATTTGCTCCACGGGGATTGAAGTACTGCGACTGCGCTTCGACCTCCCGTCATGGGATATGGCACATGGGGATTCCATCCTGTATCAGCGTGGGCATTGGTGTTGGTGCGGGCAATGTCTCGGCGACGGGTGGCTGCGGGAGGTATCAACACTACTTTGCGTGTCAAAGTTATCTTCCTTTCCAGGCCGAAGTTCCGATTTGGTGGATTGACCATTCCATCTCCACCGAATGGAGGATGGCGGGAAAGTTGGCAAAATTTAACTGCCTTGACAGTTTTTTTGGTCTTGTGCGTTCCTCACAAAGACAAGCAGCGGCTGCTCACCTTTACTGGGCCTTGGCAGGTGGGCGGTCCTTCAACTTGGCGTGCTCGAATGGTGGGCAGCCAACCAAAAAAAGGCATCATTCCCTGGTAAGGTCCGAACCTACAGCCTCCAAGGTTGCTCTCAGGTGAGGGACAAGTGGATAGTTTCGGTCCAGCGCCCGTGGGAAATGGGGTGCACGAGGTCGGCCTGCACAGCAAATAACCCGTCTATCGGGCGACATCTGGCGCCCAGGGAGAAGACTGCTGGCAAGCACACCTTGCCCTCGCGTCCATGTTGAGCGAGCGAGCGAGCAAAGCGCAGCTTTTCACCTTTCCCATCTCTGCCCTTGACATGTCAAGATCCAACTGTACCCTTCCAACAAATTCAGCTAAATAAGCTGTTCCTCCCCCGTGGCGCAATCGGCAGCGCGTCAGACTGTTATCCCACTTTGAGAGACATCTGGAGGCTATAAGTTCGAACCTTATCGGGGGAGTTCCTTTTTTGCCTGAATGTTGGGATTGAGTCGTGATGCAAGGGATGCGATGTGACGCTGCGTGCATGATGATTCAGGGAGCCCCACTCCTTGGAACCACTTGGCAAACCCAACCTAAGTGGTTGTTAAAGACCCACTACGCCGCACAGAGCTTCACCAGCGAAGATGAGGGAGAAACCAAAAGTCAGCTTCCTCAGCCTGCAACGCTGATAATTTTTGCCAACTTCATCTTTCCCTGGGTACGAGCGTCGCGCATTCGCTTTCGTTCCAACTTCATCCAACATAACAGATCGCAGAGGTTACACCATGTTCCTACTGCCTGAAGAGCCTCTACGTCATGACAGCCTCAAGGTGGCCTGGCCCTCCACGGTACCGAGGGAACGCCTGACCTATCTGCCAAGGTAGGCAGCCACCATCATCAAAATCGCTCCGCTTGCTCAAACATCCACAAGTACGACATCAAGCCGGCCCTCAGTCCAAGCGAGTCCAACAGGGATATACTGTGGTGGTCAACATCATCGTCCCCAACCCCTTGGCCAGCCCGCGCCATTGTGCAGGCCGAAGCTGAGAACTTGAAGGCTAAGAAAGAGGAGGAAAGTAAGGATGGTAAGGGCCCCCCTTCTTCCAACAAACAAACACACTGAGGGAACAAGCCGTCAGAAGGCCCAGGCGAGAAGGCTCAGAAGAATGCGAGAGAAGGACGAGGAGGAGGCCGATAAAGAGATGATGGGTACGTAGACGACGAAGTAAATGCCTTGATACGTTGCAAAAACTCAAATGACCCTTGCTGGTTGCGCCCTCCTTCCCTTTCTCCACCAGCGATCTCTTCCTCCGCCAGTTGTTCCCTTCTCCACCAGTACCCTCCTCTTCCGCCAGCATCCCTCCCCTCCGCCCAACCTTCTCCTCCTCAGCGTTACTCGCTTTGGGCTGTATTCTCCACCTCATGCTCGTATTCATCTCTTCTGTCAGCATGGAAAAGGGCTTAGAAAAAGGGGGAACTTACATTCTTGCGGGCCTTTGAGCTCCGCCTCTGCCCAGGTAACGACCCGCACTATTTGGGGGCTCTTGGAAACTAAGGAGTTTCAGTCGAGGCGTTAAAGCGTATTTCTGTCAGACTGGGCTTTGACTGAGGCCCGGAGTAGTTCGTATTTGTGTTTGATTTTTGTCTAGTCCTCTAGCTCAAGATGCCGCCCCTGTTCTCCTTCCAAGCACAGAGCCTTACATGCTAGGTATTTTCAGATGTAAAATAAGGCCATTTATAATGCAGCTGATGCCGGCTCTTGTTCGCTCGAGGTATTGGTTGATTTGGGTTACGTGTTTTCGCACGGAGCAGGCAGCCCCTCTCTTCTGGCCGGAGCCTTCGTACGATGAAGCTAACACAAGACAGTTTTTGTCAAATACCGATGGAGATCGCAGTAGCGTGTCATCCACAGAGCAGCGTGGCCCCTTTCTTCTGGTCAGAGGCTTCGTGCCAGGATCAGTCCTGCCTCGCAGGATCCAGTTTCACAGTGCCGACAATGTCATCAATCCGCTTCAAGACCTCCTGGGTCAGCTTCTCCAACACCCTAACCGCGCCACAATTCTCAACCACTTGCTCCGGGCTCGACGCTCCCATAATCACCGACGACACTTTCTCGTTCTTCAGACACCACGCCAAAGCGAGCTGTGACAGCTTCACTCCTAGCTCCTCCGCGATAGGCTATCCCGCAGTCAGCACCCTTCAACACCAACCCCTGAACAACAAGCTCACTTACCTTCAACCTCTCCGCTTTCTCAACGCTAGCCATCCACTCCTGCCCCCCATAATTCCCACTCTCCACCCACCAATCCACAAACTTATCGCTCCCCTTCGCAAACCGACTCCCCTCCGGCGGCCCGCCACCCCCTCCATACTTACCACTCAACAGCCCCAACTTCAACGGCGAAAACACCGTCAACCCGATCCCAAACCTCCCCACCACCCTCTGAAACTCCCCCTCCACCTTTTTCCTCGTAAGCATATTATACTGCGGCTGTTCCACTACCGGCGCGATCAACCCCAAGCTCTTCGCAATCCCGCACGCCTCGGCAATCTCATCCGCGCTCCACTCGCTGGTTCCCCAGTACAGCGCCCACCCCTTCACCTCGATGACGTGGTGAAACGCGCGAACGGTTTCTTCCATGGGTGTGAGACGGTCTGGACGATGCGCATAGACGATGTCGACGTAGTCGAGCTGGAGGCGATCTAGGGAGGCGCGCAGCCCTTCGAGGATGTGCTTGCGGGAGAGGCCGTGGCTATTGATGAGGATGGTGCCGTTGTGGAGGCCCCAGTTGAGTTTGGTTGAGATGACGAGGTCAGAGCGGGGCCAAGAGAAGTGAGCGATTGCGGCGCCCATGGCGGTTTCGGAGGCGCCGGAGGCGTAGCTGGGGGGGTTAGTTGGTTGAAGATGGGATAGGAAGGGGGGAGAACCTTTCGGCGGTGTCGAAGAAGTTGATGCCGCTGTCGTAGGCTGCTTTCATGCAGGCAAAGGTGGTTTCTGCTCGGTGCGAGTGTCAATGGCGGTGGACGAGTGGTTGTGAGGGGAGTATTGGGGGGGGGGGGGGAGTTGAGTCGAACCATTGTCAGTTTGACCTCCGAAGCTGGTAGAGTCAGTATTTGAGCGTGGGCGAGGAGCAGTATGTCATGGGGAACCAACGTGATCCATCCTCCAAGGCCCAGGACTGAGACGTGGAGACCAGAGCTGCCGAGACGGCGGTATTGCATCCCCGTGTCGCGTGGTTCTGGCCAGGCCATTTTGAAGTTGGTGACAGGTATTGCTTACCACAGAGTTGGCTTGAGCAAGATTTAGGGAGATTCAGAAGCTGACAGCGCACCGCCGTTGACGCTGTGAGGTGTTGTCAATGGTTCATGGTGATCAAACACCCCGCACCGTCTTGATGCAACCCCATGCGGGGTTGACAGAGCGAAGCTGTGAGCACTTCCACCCTACAAACGGATATCTGGCGTCAAGAAGATCACCCAACTTGACTTCAAGGATTGACTGTTCGTTCATTGACTGCAATGTCGCACTCGGGCTAACATGCATGGCTTCTGCGTATATATCAAGGTGTAGCACTGCCTCGTTCGATGGCGCAGCTCAACGTTGCGGCTGAGTTGACGCCGTTCCACGATCGGCTCATAAGAACGACAATGTCTGCTACAACCTCGAAAACCCCCAAATCCATCACTTGACGCCCTGACAGCCCCGTTGTCGCCCGCGATGCGCCTTATAAACACGAAGACTCTTGAACTCAAAGAGTACTGGGGCAGCGACATACCCCGATATGCCATCCTGTCGCACACATGGGAAGAAGAGGAGGTGACGTTCCAACAGCTGACGCAGCTACCCCGGGAAGAGGTGGCCAAGTTCAAGGGCTTCAAAAAGATCGAGCGCACTTGTCAGCTCGCGGAGCGCTCAGGGATAGAGTGGGCATGGGTCGATACCTGCTGCATCGACAAGAGCAGCAGCGCTGAGCTCACCGAGGCCATCAACTCCATGTTTCGATGGTACCAGGAGTCGGCGGTGTGCTTTGCGTACTTGTCCGACTTGAGGAATGATAGGCGGAAGGAGGGGGGGTGGAAGGTGAAAGGCGGAGAGAAGAGCAGCCCGAATGAGGGCCAAGGGGCAGACAAAAGGGGGGTTGAGAAAGAGGAGGTAGGTGAAAGAAAGAAATGGGAAGGCGACCAGTGGTCAGAGAATTGGAACAAAGAGAATGGAAAGACTCGCAAGGAGGGAGACGCGGAGAGCAGAGCCGGAGCTTCTGATGCCTCCAGCAACACCGACAACGGTCTCACTTGGAGGCAGCGCGTCGACAAATACGCGGCCTGCCGGTGGTTCACACGCGGATGGACTTTGCAAGAGCTCATTGCCCCCCGTCGGCTGGGCTTTTACAACCAAGATTGGGTGTTTGAGGGCGAGAAGGACAAGCTGAGCTCCGAGCTCGCCGAGATAACCCGCATCAACAAGCGAGTCCTCAACAATGCTGCCCTGCTCTCCACGATACCCGTCGCTCAACGCATGTCCTGGGCGGCGAACAGACAGACGACGCGTGCTGAAGACATGGCGTACTGTCTCCTCGGCATTTTTGGTGTGCAGATCCCCATGCTCTACGGCGAAGGAAGCAAGGCCTTCATCCGTCTCCAGGAGGAGATCATCAAGGAGTCAAACGACCTGAGTCTCTTTGCCTGGCGAGCGGGGGCATCATCCCAGAAGCACTGGGGAGTTCTGGCACTGTCGCCTCAGGACTTTGCCGACTGCGCAAGTATTGAGCTTTGGGATGACGCCATGTACAACGACGAATTCGCGGTGACGAGCAAAGGCCTGCGCGTCACTCCAGCATCCGGCGGCGCCTTGCGACTTGGAAAAGACGAAACATTCGTGCTCAGTCTCCGATGCTATCGACAGGGATCAGATAAGGACTTGGGGATATTCCTCCGCAAGCATGGCTGCGATGTGTTCACCAGGGTGTTTCCCGACGCCCTGGCAGACGTGCAGGACACCAGAAAAGAGACGACGGGAGCGAAAGGGCGCGTATTTTACATCAGCAAGATGGTGTCGCCCGTGCTCTCGGTCGTGTTGAGTTCGAGCCACAGAAACGGCATCGACCTGTCGTGGGCGAAAGAAGCGCTGAAGAAGGCGCGCTTCCGCCTGGATCATGAGGCCGGGATCCATCCCGTTGGGCATTGGGACACGCAGCGCAGCATGTTCCTGACCCAGGGAACGAGAGAGCTCTCTTGTCGCGTGCAATTTGCTCCGTTTGGGGACAGCAGCGAAAGGCCGTTGGTGCTGGACTGCCAGTTGCGGGACGGAGAGCTGTCAGCGAGCTTCGTGGTGGGGGGCAGCTCAGGGAAGCCTGCCAAGGGCAGCGTGCTGCAAAAACGAGACTCGCGCGGCAAACTGGTCGATTGGCTCGAAGCCAAGGTCGTTCAGAAAGCTGTAAAAGGGCAGCCTGTGTATTTTGTCGATGTAGATGTGTTGCCC